TCAGGCATGTTTTACATTTAAGAGGCTGTTAAAGAGGAACAACCAGGCCATGTGGCTGGTCAGGCCAGCCCCCCCACATGATGCATCCTCGCCATGTAGACATAACACAAAAATAGCACCAGTAAATTTGATTTCACTTCTGGCTCTTTATATAACCAACAAATGTGAAAGAGTTTTCATCCTATGGAAGCAGAGAAATCACTTAAATTGAAAATAAAAGTTATATCTCACTAGCTAGCACCAACCTATCTCTGTTGAGTGATTTTGAGACTCGCAATTTATTGCAGCTATAGGACAGTCACTTGAAATCAGCAACCAGAATCCTGAAATTGGATAATGCTACGTCTGGTGGCTCAGTGATTTGATTTTATTGTCTAAATTTTATGTGCTCTAATATGCCCTCTTGGAAGTTATATAGTTTGAAAAATTGTCTTCAATAAATACTCTATTTTTGAACATCAAGAAAGCTTTCCATTTTTTATTCAGAGAAAATTAATTTTCTTCCCACCCTCACTAAATAAATGTTGAGGAGATATTTAAAGAAGATCAGTTTGAAGGAATACCTAACTGCATGCTTGACCTAGAGGCCATGATGTCGCTCTGGCCCATGATGTCGTGCTTCACCGTTTCTGTTATCCTTGGGGACAGGGGCTGGTACTTCTTCAGGAAACCTGAGACCGTTCAGTGACTGGCATTAGTTTGGGTCTCTGCCTTCACCTTCTCCACACTAAGAGCCTCCCGCTGTTTAGTGCTCACCTCCCAAAACCTCTGCGCCTTTGCCTGTGGCAGTTCCAGAAGCCCAAAGACCCAGAGACGCAGAGGCCAAAGACACAGGTCCACTTGACACTCAGGCAGATGGAAGAAGATTCATGGAGCCGTGGGGATGCTTGACAAGCCTTTATTTTGGAGAGTCACACAGACCACAAGCCCATGTCCAAGTTGGTGCCCCGACTCCCTCCCTTATCCAAAGTTCCTACCCCTTAAGTACTAGCTCCAAACAAAGCAGGCTAGCAGGCTGCAGGCCAGAAAGTGAAGTAACCTCACATGAGCTGCACATGTGAACCTATTCAAGGCTAGGGGGCAGTTTATTGCACCTGGGCTCAAGGCCGTGAGACCCAGGCTCAAGGCTGTGACAACACCGCTTTATCAGACTCCTTCAAGGTGTGAGAAGCTGCTCCTTCCAGTTACCCACGCATCTGGGTGAGGGAGCCAGACTGCCTCCCCTTACCCTACATTCTACATCAGAATTGCCCAGGACACTCTTAAAAATACAGGTTTCTGGGTCCCACCTTATCCTATTGAATCAAAATAGCTGTGGGTAGGGAATAGGAATCTGAGTTTTTGTTTATCTGTTTTATAGTTTTAAAAAATATTTTTATTAGATGAAAATACTTTCGTTACATAGCTAAAGAGAACAGCAAGAATTGGGTAAAATAACACAGAGCAGAGCAGAATTGAGTGAAAAAGACTTGGGCTTCCCTTCTTGCTTGATCACTGACTTTGTTGCCTTAGGTAATCACTGAATCTCTCTGGGCCTCAAATAATTCATCCATAAAATGGCCTAATGATCTGTAAAGGACCCTTATAGTTCTCGATGTTTTTTTATTGTATTTTTTTTTTCAGGAATCTGAGTTTTAAAGAAAGCTGCCTGATTGATTCTGATGCAGCCAGTAGCATGTTGGTGGATAGTCTTTTGGAAACAATCACCTTGACCTTAACACATCTCAGTGAGAAACATGAGCTACCTTAGGCTCTGTTACTCAGATTAAACTTGGCCTCAGTCTTCAGAAAAGATGTGTGTCTCCCATAATAGCTGGGAATGCAGAAAGGTTTGAAACATCTTTCGAATAAGCATTTAGTGTTGCAAACATGTCTTCTACCACCATTCTCCTTTTTCTGAGAACCTAGGTGCTGTTAGGATTTTTGTTGGCCCTGAGATTATCTTTGGAAATTACCTACCTTGGTAATGCAAATGTGTCTTGCCTAATTTCTTTCCAACCAGTCCTTTCCCTCAAGAAACCACATCATTCAGAGTTGTTTGCTTTCAGTGTGCCTTGAATAAACTGTCTGAGTTGTGTAGCTTGATGCCAACGTGAACTTTATACCTGTGTGGGATCATCATTTGAAAATCAAGAAGTGAGAAGATAAGCAGAAGGATCAGTGCAAATCAGCCATTTGTGCCATTTGGGGTGGTCAAAGCAGAGGAAAAATGACTAGAATTAGATGGAATCTAAACCTGCCTTTGACTCTTCTTCCATCCATAAGGAGAGAGTGTTCCGTTTCTGTGTTTTGAGGATGTCAAATCTACCTATAAGTTAACTTCTTGGGAGTCATTTTGAAATTCTCTATCAAATAGTACCATATGAATATAATTAAATCTCTTACTATATGCCTCATTATTCTACAGATTTGGGCTAGATGTTACAAAGATGCTTCTAGGGGCAAAGCAGGGAAATTCATTGAAACAGAGAGCTTGGCAACCAGAGAGTGAGTGCCCCTTCTGAATGGAGCAGTTACCAGTTGTTGCCGTGTGCAAATGTGGCCCCAGATTGCCAAATATTATGATTTTTTTTATGAAAGGTTGAGCAATAGAAATAGCCTTTCTTCTATGTTGACAAGTTAAGGGAAAAATACTATTAAATGGGTCCAACAAAATACCTTCAAGTCAGCTTGAACCTGCAGGCTACGAGTTTGTGATCTCTTATTTATACTATTATTCAAAACCATGATCCTCTAACAACTGGAAAAAAATTATGCCCATACAGTAAATCCTTGTACCTGTAAAATCAACCATGATATATTCAGCCTTATCCCCCAGATTGAACATTGTGTATAAAAATGTGAAAGTCAGCTCAATAGAAGCTGAGTCATCAGGCATAGCCAGAATAGTCAGATCACCATTGGACTGAACAATAGCATTTGTAAAATGCTAATCAACCATTGGTTTGGATTTGGTTTTCTATCTGTTGGACAAGGATGTAACCAGAACCACATTCTATTCCTTGCAACCTGGATTGTACATCCCAGTAGGAATAGCAGGAGGTGTTCCTTACAGAACAGCTCTCTCACATGAGCCCATAGGCAGGACCTGGGCAAGGGACAAATCGTTGAACTCAAGAAGGTCAAATAGAAACAGACTCATAGATACAGAGAACAGACTGACAGTTGTCAGAGGGGAAGTGAGTTGGGGGACTGGGTGAAAGGATTAAACACACAAAAAACCCCAATAAAAAACCTCATAGACACAGACAACAGTATGGTGATTGCTAGAGGGGAAGGGGGCTGAAGGAATTAGAAAAGGGCAAAAGGGGGATAAATGGCAACAGAAAAAGACTTGATTTGGGGTGGTGAACACACAATATGCAGGTGATGGATTATAGAATTTTACACTTGAAACCTATGTAATTTTATTAACCAATGTCACCCCAATATATTCAATAAAAATTTAAAAATAAATCTAATATGGAGGAAAAAGCAAGCAAGTAAAATCTGATTAAAGAAACAATGAAGAGAAAAAACTTAAAAAAAAGAAAGAATGTCAGTGGAAGCAAGTATCGAATTTTCTTTGCTGGAAACCACGTACATGCATGATGTGGTCAAAGACCATTTTCCTGAGAGACTCTGTCCCTGTACTCTCCTGGAAGGAGAGGAAATGGTTTCCCCACTTTGTGCTAATGAATGGCATTTATGAAGTATTCTTTAAACAATGTTTCTCTTTGAAAACCAACAGGACACGTAGACTCCCACTGATTTGTAAAATATAAGCAATGGATATCTCCATTTGAGAGACACTGTAAAATCTTGGCTCTGTAACTTGGTCCTTTCAGATTTCCCAAAATATAAATGGCATTGTGTATTTTTACATGTGATAGACATAGAAAAATCTTAGCAGTAAGGGCACCAGCAGAAAACAGATGATATACCCAGAGAGTTTTTCCTAACAGGTGAAGCTCCTTGCAGAGGGGCTGTTTTCAAGGCATGGGCAGGGATAAAGAAGCCCACAAAGGATGGTGAGGCATCCCAGGCATCTAAGTCATCAGGGATAGCAACAGCAGGAAGGCATTACCACCTGTTGGTCTGAAGAGAGGGAGGTGGGGCGGGGCTACCAGATCCCAGCAAAGGTTCTCTTTGTGGACAGGCGTTTGCTAGCAGACTCCATATGTGCAGAGCCATGAAGCCTGACCCCTTTCTGACTTCCACTGTCTGACAGCCTGCCACGTCCCTCCTTTGGCTGACTCCTGCCAGAACCTGGAGGGCAAGGGAGCCCAGGGAATTCAATCCAAATCAGCCAGCCTCTGGGGGCACAGAGCAGGGTGGAGAGTGGCAGATACGGATCTGAGACACTGGGGCAAGTGGAGAGTTACTATCACAGAACATCAGAGCGGGAAGGCACCTACCGTGCTTTAATCTTTGTTTTGTTGATAAGGAAAGGGAAGCCCAGGGAACTGAAGTGACTGAGTAAACATGATAATCCCAGAATAAGGCATACTTAAGGCTTAAAGCAGTTGCCTTCATATCCATTCCCCTGGCCTTTCCACTTTATTATGCTGGGAATTGTGAGTTATAAAACACATATAGAGTAAGGTGGTCTAAGATGGGCGCCTACACTGTCATTTACCATTCTCTGCCCATCAGACATCACTAATCTATTACAATTTCTCCCTGCTCCCCTCCTTGAGTCCAGATGTGCCCTCAGACTCTTCCTCATCCTACGGCTCCAGGCAGTCACTAGTAATTGAGGTATCTGGCTGCCTTCTTACCTAACAACACTAAATCTTTAAATACAAGCTTCAGGTTATTCTAATTAGATTTTCCTCCTTGAAGCATAGCTCATTCTCTATGGGTGATGCTTCCTTGAAGATTTTCAAACTGCTGGCCCTGGTGACTCAATGGAGGGCACTTATGGTTTGCAAGAAGGTGAAGCACCATAAAATTAATTTACCTAAAGGTTAATAATAAAAAGCCCTAGTCCCACATGGATTTTCTCTTTCTCCTTGCAGGTTGACAGAACAGAGGTGATTCGCACTTGCATAAACCCAGTGTATTCGAAACTGTTTACTGTGGACTTTTATTTTGAAGAGGTGCAGCGCCTGCGGTTCGAGGTCCATGACATCAGCAGCAACCACAATGGGCTGAAGGAGGCTGACTTCCTTGGTGGCATGGAGTGCACACTTGGCCAGGTGGGTCAACAGATGTCCCTTCCTCCCTCTTGCCTTCTTTGGGCCTTTCTTCTTCCCATTTATTTCTCTCCTTTCATTTAGTACATGCTTTCTTTCTCTTGATTTTAATTTCTTTCACATGTTGCATTTTATGGCTTTCCAGGCACTATCATATCCATTGTATTTACATAGGGATGATGCAAATATGTGAAAAGTTACTTATTTTGCAAAATTAATCATTTTTTTCTTGTGAATTCCTTCATTTATTTAACAACTGTATATTGAGCACTTACTCTGCTCTGATTGTGTGTCTGATCTTGAAACATTATAAATTTCCGTCTCCCAACTCCGCTCTGAGAACCCCCACACAGGAAGTATTGCTCATTTTCATGTATTCCAAGCCTCCTGTGCCCAAAAATAGCCCAGGAGAGGGGCTCAGTGGGTAAGTAAGTGCTTTTACTTAATCTTCACAACAGTGAAATGAAATAAACACCATTACTGTCTACATTTGTCAGTGAGAAAACCAAGACTCAGAGAAGTTAAGCTTAAGGCACCGTACTAAGAAGTGGCAGACTAGAACTCAAACCAGGTCAGCCTCAGTCCAAACCACATGTTTTTGTTTCCTTAACGCCTTTCCTTTTTTTTTTTTCCTTGCCTTCCTGCTGTGCCCAGAACTTTAGTAGGTGCTCAGGGGAGATCTAAGTGGGGAAGTAGTCCCTGTGCCCAAGAAGCAGACACTCTGATTGGAGAAGACATACTATGTGCATGTCAACTACAGCAATTTATGATGCTCTTAAAGCCACAGTGAGACAAAATATCCTGAGCTCTAGTGCTGCGGACCCTCAGGGGAGGGAGAGCTGCCGGCTGGCTAGAATCAAAGAAGTCATTGTGGGACCAAATGTTGGAAAAAATGTGGTCCAGGGACTGGAGAGAAAGGAGGGATGTCTTTCAAGTAAGAAAGCAAGGTAAACAAATCATAGAGGTCAGACCAACTATGGCAGGGTGGGGGGCGGAGGAGACCAGTTTCATTGATTTAAGGTCAGATGCAAATTTACTGTGAAACCAGTAAAGCTTAACCTTTAGAGCCCCTTCTCATGTGGATCCCTTCCAAACCTGTCACATTTTTTTTGTAGTTTTGTACTTTTTTCTCAAAGGGTTCCAAATTATATGAGCCTCTAACCACAAAACCAGCATCAGTCCCAAGTAGAGGTAAAGGTTTGATTAAGGGATTGGTAAGAGTCTGCCTGGCAAAGGGACGGCACACAGGAATTTTGGTTGGTCGGTTTGTTGGTTGGTTTTTACCCCTCCTCATGCCACTTATCGCTAAAAAGAAACTCTTCCCATGTGGCACTGAGTGAAAAAATAAGCAACGTTCTCAGTTACCTCTTTCCAGCAAACATAGTGATTACTTTCATAGGATTGTTCCTTGTTCCTTTAATAAAAATGCAAAAGCCCAATGTGGAAGTAGAGGTGAGGGGAGGTGGACAGAGAACCTGGCACGTTCTTCACAGATAGTCTCTCTCATGACTCTCAGAAAGGATTGATGGCAGGGACTTCTACTGTATTGCCAGGTGCAATGTCCAGTAAGTAGGCATTGGATGAAGGACTGAGTAAATGAATGAATTTAAAGTGAAATTCTGTGATGTATAAATAAAATAGAACGGTAATTAAAATGGCAGTTTTAGAGCATAAATGAGTCGCTCCAAGATTTTCCTTAGGCAGTGGACATTCCTTGTGTGTAAAAGCCAAATTCTGTCCGAAGAAATAAATGTAGGTCCATGTAGGAGTCCTGTGAGTAAAAGATCTTTTTCATCCAAAGCTTTAATCATTTTGTCCATGTAAATGTCCCTCAAACTTACACCTTTAGTCTCTCTTACAAGCCTCATCTTTGCAGCAGCCAGGAAGTCCTTGACCCTCTATGTTGTGCCGGCTTTGCCTTAGATGCCTGTCATACAGTGCTGAGCCCAAAACACTGTCTCTGCCCTCAAGCAGTTCACAGGCTAGCGGGGGATAAAGCAGGGAGCAAATAAATACACAAACAATTAATTAAATTACAACCATTATAATCTTTGATGAAGAGAAATACCAATTAGGAGACCAAACGTTAAAAGAATGGCATCGGGTGGAGAGGAAGTCATGGAAGACGTCTGGCGGGAAGCGACATTTACAGTGAAACTAGGTGGGAGAGTGAGAGGCATCTGGTGAGAGGAAAGAGGAACACATTCCGAGAAGATGCGTCAATTTTGGATCCCCTTTCCCAGGCTATAGTGACCTTGTCAAACTCCAAAATCCTGTAATCTATCTTCATTTCATTCTTTTAGCAAATCCTTCTGCATCGGTTTGTAAAGTTATTTTTTTTTTCAGTTAAGTGAAATCATTTCTCTCTTAATTAACATTTTAATACATAGTTATCTGGACCTCATAGCTAGATTACAAGTCTCTTAAGGCAGTGGCCACATTCAACCTTTCTTTGTGTCCATTGGAACAACTTGCTTTACATATCCCAAGTGCTCAAGTCCAATTTATTGATTAGTTAACTTTGAAAAGATTTTTTAACATGGTAAGGTTCATTCATTCATTGTTTCATTTTTTTTCAACAAGCATTTAGCAAGTGCCCTGGCTATCCAAGTACCATGCTAGGTACTAGAAGCACAAAGATAGAAAACAGAATGCCTGCCCCAGAAGAGCATATAATTAGCTGAAGACACAGACTGAATATATAGATAAAATCAAAATGTATATTACTAAGTGCTACAATAGGATGTTTTCCATGGGTGGGGGTGTTGTGGCGGGGGGAACATATCTCTGCCTAAAGCGAGTCAGAGAGGTGTCACAAAAAAGATGAGTCTGGATCTGAACTTCTAAATGGTGAATAAGAATTAACCAACAGAGAAAATGGGAAAAAACAAAAACAAAGACCCTCCTGGTAAAATGACTACCACACACAAAGGCACAGCAGAACAAGAATGAAAAAACAGCAGCATAACCAGATGAATCTATGAGTATGGGAAAGGGATAGAAGAGGTGAGACAGGAGAGGAGGAGCCAGACCATGAGGCTTTTAAATCCCTTTCTCTAAAGTCTGTGGAGCATGGACACGAGGCTCTGGAGACCCAGCAGGGCTTCCATTAGGGAAAGGACAAGACTGGATGTATATGCTAGAAAGGTCACTTTGGCATCCCTGTGAAGGGCGCATGAGAGAGGATGGATGTGGAGGCAGGGAAACCAATTGGGAAGCTAAAGCAATAACAGGAAAGAGATAAAGAAGGCAGTGGTCATGGAGGCTGAGAAGAGGAGACCCAGAGAAGAGCTTGTCCAAGAGCAGAACCAACAAGCCTTGGAGACTGGCTGAGGGAGAAGGAGTTTTGAGATACCTGGTGTAGGTTACTGGTGAAGTGATTTAGCTATTTTTGAGGGAAATGAAACTGAGGAGTGAGTTTGGGAACAGAATGTGATGCTGACACGCTGAGCTCAGGATGTGTGTGGAGAAACGAGAACAAGTTGCCAGTTGGTGGCTGACCATGCAGATATGGAGATGACATAGATTTAGGAGCTAACTCCCTATAGACAGCCATTGGTGGCATGGAAGTGGGTGAGATCCCTCAAAGAAACCCTTTTGTATTTATTTTTGGAGGGAAATTTATCAAACATACAACATATGAATAAATCATATAAGATTTTTTATTTTTTTAAATTTTTTATTGTTCAATTACAGCTGTCCCCATTTTCCCCTCATTACCCTCCTCTGCCCTACCCATCCCCCACCTTCCACATTCAATACCCCCCTCCATTGTCTTTGTCCAGGGTCCTTTATACATATTCCTTGACTTGACCCTTCCCCTTCTTTCCTTCATTAATACTGAGTATGTAAGAACATCTCTATTTCCAGATAAAAGTGTAAACTCGATGTTGTCTTGAAACCAAAAACTTTCGTTGAGTGTTTTCTCTGTGTAGACGAACATACCAGATACATGCATTTGTAACGAAACCTTTGTGAAGGGCAAGCAGTACTCTTTTACCCTCGGTAGTTTCACAGATTGTGATATTTTGGCATGAACGAGAGTTTTCTTCTTCTTTTTAAATTGCTCTTCTTTCTAGTGTGATCAAGCACAAAGAAAAACCTTCTACATTTTCCTTCTTCATAACTCCTTGTACTGTTTAGCTAGGCAGGGAATGGCTGGATGTGAGCTGTTGAGCAACGCCAGGAATGGTGTGGTCAGGTCTGAAGACTGTTCAATAACACTCAGGTGTGCAGACCCCGGAGCCTGATGGTCTAGTGTCAAACCCCAGCTCACCCGCTCTTGAGTTGTACGCCCAGGGGTAAATTCCTGCAGCTATTTAAGTCTCTGTTCCCCCTTTTGAGAAATGGAGAGAATGGTAATGCTGGCCTCAAACTATTGTGAAGACCAAGAAAATACGTAGAAGGTGCTTGCTTAGTGGAGTCCCTGGCACAGAGAAAGCACTCGAGATATGGAAACTGTTACTGAGATGGTGAGAATCAAGAAAACGGTGGGGAGGATTGACATTTGTAGGGACCAACATTGTTTCAGGAGTGAGGGTGGCAGTAAAAAAAAAAACCATGAAAACATGATGACAGAACACCCATGTCCTAGACAGTTAGTAAAACTGAGCTGCTTATTCCACGTCCAGCGTGTTGAGTACTGTGTTTAGTCAGCAGATTCAGTATATGTGTATGTGTAATATTTACTCTTCTCAGACTATTTTTAAGTAAAAGTGCTTTCAAATCAGGGGCAAGTGTTCCTGTTCCTATCTTGCCACAGCTGATACTGACAAAGAGAGATAAAGTGGCTTCCCAAACCCATAGGAAGTCACACATTCAAAGCCTGTCTCCTCAAAGCTGTCTACAGGTACTTGCGCTGTCCATCTGAGTTTGTCACATCCTCACTCTGCCGTGTGAATCAGCAGGACTCATGGCCTTTAGGAAAGGGAAATAGCAGCCCTAGGCATGCTAGAAATTGGCACTGGCCGCGAAGTTGGTATAAGCACAGCGAGTGACTTAGC